CAGAACAGTGAGTCTGACTGCAGAAGATCTGAGCTCGCACACACACACACACACACACACACACACACACACACACACACACACACACCCACACACACACTGGAAATGATGCAATATTGAGATATTTCAGCATTATGTGTGACGAACCAGATCATCTACTGCACCAGAATCAGCAGCTTAACTTTCAGAAATAATCAATCCCAGAATTCAGTGCGCTTGACTTTAATTTTCAGTCTCATGAAAGACACAGAAGTGATTTCAGCTGTTTTTATTTCCCATATGATGACTGCTGTTTATATACTTTAAAAATATATATTATTTATATTCTGATTTAGGCTTTATTTTTAGATTTTAGTTAAAATGATTAATTATTTAATTTATTAAAAAATATATTAATACATTTTTTTAATTGACATTTTCTGACTGTATCTTTCAGCATTGATAAATCACACAGAGAGTGGCTGTCAGCTATCAGAGGAAATAATAAGTGTTTGATCAACAGCACGAGTGTCATAACTCATAATCATCTGTGTTGTGTTCACTCTTGATCATTGTATTAACATCAGAATAACAGCATCTGTTGATTGTGTCTCATCAGCTCCTGTGATTCTGGATCCAAACACGGCTCATCCACGTCTTGTTCTGTCTGATGATCTGACCAGTGTGAGAGTCAGTGAGAACAAACAACATCTTCCTGCTTTCATCTTTCATCATGTTTCAGCATTTAATCACACGAGTACCAGACTGTTGCTCTGAATATATGCTTGTGATCGATAGTTAGCTGAACTCTGATCACTGATGGATATTACTCAAACTCTACAATCACTGATTCAATCTCTATAAGGTTCATATTTTCTGCAGAAGTGAAGGTAATATCACGTAATATTATTTCTTCTTCAGAATCAGTGCGGCATCTAGTGGAGAAACTGACTCAAAACTCAACAGTGAAAATAATATCAACTAAAGACACTACTAGACAGTACACAATTTTACATTTATATTTAGACATGATAAAATGACTCTTTGTCAAATTTAAGGCAATTTTGTACTGAAGAATAAATAAACACCCTTTGGAGTCGGGCTAAAATCTACCAATAGGTACGTCAAAAGATTATAAACAATTTCTGTTTAAAGTTTTTTTTTTTTTTAAGAAAACTTGAGCAAATATTGCATTAAATAAATATTTGTTTTACCAAATCTGATTTTAAATGTGATTTTCTGCTCTGGTTTATAACCCGCCCCACTCTGATGATTGACAGCAGCAGGAACCAATCAGCGTCTCCTGTGAAAGTGAAAGTGAAAGTGAAAATGGAGAGAGGAACAGCAAACAACATCCAGACATCACACAGGGATGAACAGTCAGTTATATTATCATATCAGCTGTTTGCTTACAGATAACTGTGAACAAATGTGGATCTGAGAGGAAATTCAAGAGTTCAGTACTTTTCCCAAATGAGCACAGAGAGACAGTTTAATGTCTGATAGGATCAACACAGACCACAAACTTAACATTAATGCATTCTGTAGACTAATCTACATCTTCCTATTAAACAACAGCATATGAAACTATAAACATCTTAGCTTGTGCACTAATCGAGCTTATACATGAAATTTACCATCAAATATTATGAAAATTATTCCAACAAATTGCTGGTAATGATCCTCATAAGATTCAATGGAAGCTTCTGCAAAATGAACAAATCTGAACGTAACAGCAGAAAAACAAATGCCAAGTTTTCTTCTAAGGCATCTTCTTACTTTATGAATGTGATGTAAATATTCTTTCAATCTTACGCACCACTGCCGTTTTTATTTTTAAAGTGCACTTTTAAAATTAAGCATTGCTAAAATAATTAAATGAACAGTTTAAAATCAACAACACATTTGAGAGAAATGAATTGTGAAAAGAGGCTTGATTGAATGTAAGAGAGTTTAACTAAAATGGCTGCAAAGCAACTGAAGTCAGATGAGGCTCTGTGGAGTCAGATAAACTCGGGATGCTCTACAAATCTCAGACTGTAGTCAGGACAGCGGTTCACTGAAATCACTGCAGCTCATTTCTGAAGACATGAAAGACACTGTGTTCATTCTTACTGCTGAGAATCGACCTGCTGCTGAAGCGAATGCTGCTCGCGTGACCGGTTCTGATCACCTTTGTCTCGGATCATCTCTCCAGAGCTTCAAGAAGTAAAGCTTCATCCTTCACCAGCAGGTCTGAGCGCCGCTGCAGAGCATCCATCATGTGAAAGAGATGCTGCTCCACACTGGAGATCTTATGAGAAACTCAGCATTCAGGAGAGAAACTGAAGGACGTTCTCCAGCAGAACAAGCTCACCTGTGCGTACCATACTCCTGCATTCATACCTGCATCTGGAAGGTGTTGTCTTCAGGAATAAGTGAAGAGAAGATCCTGCTGACATCCTCCATAAGCTTCTTCAGTCCAAAGATAAACACCAGCTGATAGAGACATTGAGCCGATGTGATGGAAACCTCAGTCTGAGGTGTGTAGAAACACCTGAGCAGAATCAGTTCAGATAATGTGTCTAACGTTCATATAGAGTCAGCAGAATCCTGATTTTAGTTCAAAGTGAGCTGAGAAGAGCAGAGACATGAGGACACACGTCTGGCTGATGTCCACACTGAGCTTTCTGGACTCATTTCTTATGTTCATCTCTGGATCAATCATGAGGATCAAACCGTGCAAAATATGAAGCAGCACAAATACTGATGTTTTAGCTGAGCTAAGAAATAAAAGTGGACACCAGTTTAGGCAGTTTGTGTGATGGAAATGGCTATATTTGTCTTTTTTTTCTATGTATTGTTTATTCTGTATTTTGCATATGTTATTTTTGCACAGGTGTTGGCCTTCAGTATTTTCTCAGTGTTTGAGGCTAAACCTTCTGTCAGCTTTCCTCTAACAGGGGAACAGCTATGAGCGGTTAGAGCTAATCTGAGAAGATACTGTTGAAGGTCAAGATCCTCGGACAGTCTTTATCAGTATAGAAGAGACCGTACTGACCTGCTTTCTGTCTTTCTCACTACAGAGCTTCTGTGTGTTTCACTCTCTGTCTCACATTTAACAACAGATTTAGACTTTTTCCATGACAGTAGTAATGAAATATTCGCTTCGTTATCAGCAAAGCTCTTGTTGTAGATCATTAAAGCGTTATTCTGCCCCAGGAGTCTGTCTGAAATCATTTTCGGGAGGAACCTTGAACAAAGAGTCATAAAGCTTTCGGACGCAGCGAGTCTTCAGAGGAGAGGTGAGCAGTTCACAGTAACTGTAAAATACACTTTACACTATTTATTTATGCAACAATATATGAGGTAGTTTCTACCTTGTTTTAATCGAGTACAGCACTGTTTGTGTTTTTGCTTACTTAAACACTTAGAACAACAGACTACAAGCATGTGAGGGAAACATGTTAAATTCATTAAGACCTGAGCGATTTTCTGTTTTATGAACCGCAGGATTGCTTGTAATAAAGATCTAAATGCAAAAGGAAAGGCAGTAGAGCTGACTATTTCTGTCAGTGGTAAGTTTGTGATAACGTAAGAAAAGTAGTTTAAATGTTTTGCCACTTGCTTGAGCAACTTAATATATAAATCTAGAAGTACCTTCAGTATTTTCTCAGTGTTTGAGGCTAAACCTTCTGTCAGCTTTCCTCTAACAGGGGAACAGCTATGAGCGGTTAGAGCTAATCTGAGAAGATACTGTTGAAGGTCAACATCCTCGGACAGTCTTTATCAGTATAGAAGAGACCGTACTGACCTGCTTTCTGTCTTTCTCACTACAGAGCTTCTGTGTGTTTCACTCTCTGTCTCACATTTAACAACAGATTTAGACTTTTTCCATGACAGTAGTAATGAAATATTCGCTTCGTTATCAGCAAAGCTCTTGTTGTAGATCATTAAAGCGTTATTCTGCCCCAGGAGTCTGTCTGAAATCATTTTCGGGAGGAACCTTGAACAAAGAGTCATAAAGCTTTCGGACTCAGTGAGTCTTCAGAGGAGAGGTGAGCAGTTCACAGTAACTGTAAAATACACTTTACACTATTTATTTATGCAACAATATATGAGGTGGTTTCTACCTTGTTTTAATCGAGTACAGCACTGTTTGTGTTTTTGCTTACTTAAACACTTAGAACAACAGACTACAAGCATGTGAGGGAAACATGTTAAATTCATTAAGACCTGAGCGATTTTCTGTTTTATGAACCGCAGGATTGCTTGTAATAAAGATCTAAATGCAAAAGGAAAGGCAGTAGAGCTGACTATTTCTGTCAGTGGTAAGTTTGTGATAACGTAAGAAAAGTAGTTTAAATGTTTTGCCACTTGCTTGAGCAACTTAATATATAAATCTAGAAGTAAATGCAAAAGTAAAAAGCATTGAATGATGTGTTGCTTATATTTATTGTGTTTAAACATGTCTGTGAAAGATTGTATTACTGTACCATGTAAAAATAAAAAAAAAAGAATTGCAATGCTGAAAAAGCATTTTCAGTGACAATGTTTGGATTTGAAATGAAAATAATGGATAAATGTTGTGTTTCTGTTAAAGAGCCACGGATCAGTAGCGGACTCCTCTCACAAGAGACACCTAAGAGGGGAATTCCCCCCATTTTCAAAAATGAAATTCAGGCCCGGAATAAATGTCTAAAAATCCTGATTGGAGTATAAATATATATAGTTATAGATTATAAAAAGAAGGCTTTAAAAAGATCGGTATCAGTGATCGGTATAATAGCATTTGAAGAGAAGTATCTTACTTGCGATATAGAGACAGAGTAGAGAAGATAACTTACTATGCTTCTCTTTGTTCAACTAAATTAGTTAACTTCGGCTAACTGACATTATTAACTTACCAGTTGATGTTATTATCGATACTATGGCATTCCCAAGAAGAGGCTCCAAAATACACCTCAGACGTTGCAGACTACATCCAGACTAGAAATCTGAAAATAACAAACAAAAGAAGTACTAGAAAATACTGTTTAACCCCCTACGGTACGGAATATGATATCAATGAGGAAAAAAATATTTGTGATGTTGTTCCTACTTAAAATTGGACACTATAGCAATATCAATAACACATTTTTTAATTTATTTTTTAAAAGTTTGTTAAAACACTGTACCACAATGGAGAAATTTTAACATTTTATATTTTCATGCAGAAAAAAAGAAATATATTTATTGAAAACATAAATGTATTTAACCAAACACTTGAACAAACAGATTGATCTAGATTTTAATGTATTGCACGTCTCGTATTTAATCAAACATAACATTTCAAATCCAGCTGTTGCTCTCAGGCAACATTGTACCATCGTGGATCACAAGTATAACTAAACTATCATATGTGTTGTCATACCAAAACATTATAATCAGTGTTGTTTCAATGTAATAAATTAAAAATAATCATAACCTTATTCTAATATGCACTTTATCCTTATAAGCATGCACATGCACACACAAGCACATGCATGCAAAATCTCCTACTTCACTAATGACACCTCATTGCTTGTGAAAACTGAGGAAGCAATTCTTCTCAACAGACAAATCATAATATGTGCAGATATAGTATGAGAACTACTATTCTTGAAAATTCATTACAAAATCATGCAAAACATTCTAATACATTTAGATAATTCTAACTCTTTTCCTTACAAATATCATATACTTGTATTCTAACCTAGTATGCCTGCATGGCCTTATGCGATTCCACTGCGGTACAATGTTGCCTTGAGGCAACATGCAGTTTGCTGTTAACAAGTGAAAACATCTTAAAATATCTCAGTTTTGCCTAAAACAGAAATAATATACTAAACCTTTTTGTCGAATTAATGGTGCATTTCTCTTTTGTCCTTTTGTGGCCACTTCCACCAAACAGTCAAAAAAGAAATCTCCCTTGCCATTGGTCAGTTTTTCGCGGGCAAGTTCACTACTGTAAATTTAGTTTACTGTAAATGGATTTACAGTAGTGAGGAAATACAGTAGTGACCATATATTTTCCCATAATCCTTTGCTGTTTACTGTAAAATACTGTATACACATTTTACAGTATCTTACTGTACATATTACACTAAAATACTGTATAGAATGTGTGAATTAGCACATATGTGAGTGCAGTGTTACTGAATGAGCATTTTAAACTGATGTGCTCTGTGTCTACGCCGTTTCTTTTAATAAAGTAATATAATGATTTACAAAGAGACAACACTGTATTTGTAAGGCTCTGGTCTCTTCTACTTCGCTTACATAAATGCTTACATGTTTAAATTTTAAGTTTTTAAAATTCAGAAACTGATTTATTGTTGATTTTGGCCAAATCTGCTTCTTCCACACAGAAATTAATGTTTAGTGAAGCTCCTCCCACAACAATCCTGTCATCAGTGAAGCTCCTCCCACAACTATACTGTCATCAGTGAAGCTCCTCCCACAAACCTTGCAGAATGAAACACACTGAAGGTTCTGAAGAACAAACAAGTTGGTGTTTACTCTTGATTCTTCATTAATGGTGATTTTTGTTGTAATTGAATAAATCTTTAGAGCTGTTGAATAATCGTGCTGAAGCATCAAATAATAAGGGACACTTTCTACAAACTGGGTACTTTCACCCAAAAAAAATATGCTAGATAATTGTGTAGTTGATCAAACATATTTAATAGTCCTGCCTATAAACATGGGATTTGTGCCTATAATTTTAAAAAATAATAAGTGGAAGATCAATGTAGCTCATTCATGGTTTCAGGGATCAAAGATTCAGGGATGTATAATTTGTGAAAATGCATCATAACGATCAACATGTTGTATAGCAATTGTTATAACAGGGTTCACTTTTATGTTCTTTCATATTTCTCAAATTTTCTCAGTTCCTGAAATATTTTTATTTCAGAGTTGATTGAAGAAAATGAGGAGAGTGAAGAATTGAGAGAAGTTGAGGAGAAAAATCATGTCAAAACCAGAGAAAAAACATTGAGTCAAACCAAACAGAAAAAAATGGAAAAAAGAGGAGCCAAGAAATCTCTCACCTGCACTCAGTGTGGAAAGAGTTTAACAAGCAAACATAGTCTTGATGTTCACATGCGCGTTCATACTGGAGAGAAACCGTTCACTTGTGATCAATGCGGGAAGAGTTTCTCACAATCAGCACATCTTAAGGATCACATGACCACCCATACTGGAGAGAATCTGTACACATGTGATCAATGTGGCAAAACCTTTTTGAGGGCATCATACCTGATGAAACACATGAGAGTTCATACAAAGGAGAAGCCGCATTCATGTTATTTGTGTGGAAAGAGTTTTTCATGTCTACAAAATTTGAAAGTACATCAGAAAATACACACTGGTGTGAGAGACTACATGTGCTTTGAGTGTGAGAAGACTTTTACTTCAGCATACTATTTAAAACTGCATGAGAGGATTCACACTGGAGAGAAACCGTACAAGTGTTTACACTGTGACAAGAGATTCAGTCGGTCAGGAAATCTGAAAACACATGAGAGGATCCATCTTGATGTTCACATGCGCGTTCATACTGGAGAGAAACCGTTCACTTGTGATCAATGCGGGAAGAGTTTCTCACAATCAGCACATCTTAAGGATCACATGACCACCCATACTGGAGAGAATCTGTACACATGTGATCAATGTGGCAAAACCTTTTTGAGGGCATCATACCTGATGAAACACATGAGAGTTCATACAAAGGAGAAGCCGCATTCATGTTATTTGTGTGGAAAGAGTTTTTCATGTCTACAAAATTTGAAAGTACATCAGAAAATACACACTGGTGTGAGAGACTACATGTGCTTTGAGTGTGAAAAGACTTTTACTTCAGCAAACACTTTAAAACTGCATGAGAGGATTCACACTGGAGAGAAACCTTATATGTGTTCGCACTGTGACAAGAGATTCAGTCGGTCAGGACACCTGAAAACACACGAGAGGATCCACACTGGAGAGAAACCATATTACTGCACTGCATGTGGGAAGCGTTTCAATCGTTCATCTGCTCTACACAGACATACAAAAAATTTCATCTTCAAAACCAGCAGATTCAACTGTGAGATTCTGATAAACTCAAAGATGGAGTTCCTCCCCAAAGAACAATGTCAGAAAGTTTTATTCTTTTGTATAATTCTGCTTCATGTTATAAATGCTTTCACTGTGTTTTCTTATGAGTTTCATATTATGTTCAATCATCTTATAATGCATATGCATCACTTGTAGTTTGCTTACTCTTTCATGAAGGAAAGTAGAAGCTTTTTACAAACCGTTCTTGTTCAGGAAGCTGAAGAAGAGGCTGTAACACTTTTAAGAGAGACTGAGATTTATTTTTAACTTGTTCATCATTGTTGTTTTTAAAATGACTAGTTAGCTTTTAACTTGATGTATTTAGAAAACGCAGATGCAAGAAATACTGTAATGTAGCTTTGAAACTGATCCTTCTGTGCTTCTCTTGTAAGTAGGGATGGTACCTGAACCCGGTATTAAATGGGCCCTTTTTTTAATAAAAAAAAAGAGAAAGAATTCCATTAAAGAACCGGACTGATGGTCAGTGTCACAAAAATATAAATACTCTTAAAACCTTAATGATACCCATCTCTACTTGTAAGTCAGTAGAAGAGAAAGATGCATCTCATTAGTTTCCACTTTTACTTTCAGTAATTATTGATTAAATGTTACCTTTTTATTAATACATTATCTTTACCTTTTATATTTTATCAAAACTTTTATTGTCTGCTAAATGTATTTGCATAACGGAAAAGTTATTTTATAATTTGAGCTTTAATATCTGAAAGCTCTGAAGTGTTATGTTTGCTTTTTTCACTTTCTGTTTTAAATTTCTCAATAAAGCTTTTGAATCGAATTTAAAGCCTTTATTGTCATTGTATTTTCAGCATACAGTACAATGACATTAGGAGAAATTTGTTAGAAAACAAACATGTAACTACAGACAATAAACAAGACTATAGACTGTACAGTACAGTTATAAAAGTATATACATCAAGAGTCATAATATTGCACACTGAGCAATCTGAGTAAAGTGAGCATTGACAGCACTGCACATTGACTTCTACATTGATATGAAACAGTACGAAGATATGAAGGGCTCCTGATGTTTCGTTCAGCTCAGGAAGGGCTCCTGATGTTTTGTTTAGCCCAGGAAGGGCTCCTGATCCCCATTCCAGCCCAGGAAGGGCTCCTGATCCCCAGTCCAGCCCAGGAAGGGCTCCTGATCCCCAGTTCCACTCAGGAAGGGCTCCAGCCCAAGAGCTCTCTCCAGTACCCGCTCCTCAAAAATGTCCGTCCTCCCACCCGCTCCTCAAAAATGTCCACCCTCCCACCCGCTCTGGCCTCCTCGAGCGTCACCATGGTCGGAGTCTCCCTCGCCTCCAGCCTCCGAGGCCCGGACTCTGCCTCGGCCCGTAGACCCAGTGGCTCCACCTCGGCTCCTAGCTCCCTCGCCTCCACCATCACCCATCGATCCAATGCGTATTTGGCTCCATTTACATTTAATTTATTGTAATTGATGCTTAAACCCTCAATTAGGGGCCGGGTGTAGGAGCCATACTTACTATCTTATTTAATTTTTCTATATGTTCACTTATACATTAGTTTGCTGCTATATTGTTAATGTTGTTTATTTCTCTGAGTGTGTGCCCTCTATAGGTGTGAAGGGAAAAATGTTTAAAAGGATATGCCAACCCTGACAGGAGGGGGGCGCTGGTGTGAGAGCATACAGTCTTTCGACTATGCGCATGGAGCTAAGATGGCATGGTGCAACAAGCCTGCAATTAGCCTTTAAGTTGTTTGTTTGTTTTATGTTGCAATTCA